TGAGCCTCTCGAGGCTCCAGCCACAGGCTCTGGACCAAGTCCTGCTCTGCGCAGGCTCGGGAGGCCCTCCTGGTCCTACTCCGATAACACACCACTCGCTGCTCTGCCACAGACCCTAAACATGTCACCGTGTTGGTCTTTGTTCATGCTGACCCCCTGCCTTACCGTCTCAGGCCCCCACGTCCCCTTCTGCTTCACTCTGTCCCCCTCTAGACTGTTTCCTGGGCAGGGACTAGGACTGACAAACCTTCGCCCTGGAAGAGTACTGGCACTGTGAGCAGTCAGTAAATTTTTGTTAAACGAAGGAGTGAATTTATGAACTAACTCATTAATGAATGAATTTAATTCACAGGCATTACCTTCACCAAAGTTTCATCCTGCAGTTCCCAAGAGGTCCTCCTTGGGGCAAAGGGCATGCTCTGACCTTTGACACTCAGCCCGTGTCCTGGGTTCAGACTCAGGCTGTTTATTCTCTTGGCAGGACATACAGCGAGGACCCCAAGGAGTCAGTCAAGCAGTGTGAGCTGCTTCTGGAGGAGCCAGACCTGGACAACACCATTCGCATAGGGGATGTCTATGGCTTCCTGGTGGAGCACTACCTGCAGATGGAGGAGTTCCAGATGGTGAGGTTCAGGATAATAGATGGCTCTGCTTCCCAGGGGGGGACCCGGCTACAGCAGCCCCGCCCTCAGACCACAGTTGTTGCAAGCTCACCATGGAGGAGGCGCCTCTCCTGTTTTTGTTTTTGATTTTTTAGTCTTTTTTATTTTGAAATACTTGCAAACTGAAAAGTTACAAGGATAATAGTACCCAACTGTACCTATTACCAGATTCACCAGTTTTTAACATCTTGCCACGTTTATTTATTCATTCTGTATAAACATTTCTCCATTTCTATTTTATACATTAAATGGGTATTTTTCCGAACCATTTGAAAGGTGCAGACATCCTGCCCAATCACCCCTTAGATTGCTAACACGTGAGTAGACACCTGGGCACAGAATTGCTGGGTCGTATGGTGAGTGTATGTTTAACTTTCTAAGAAACTACCGAACTTTTCTCTTTTCTTTTTTGTAGTGTCTTTTTCATGGTTCGTATCAGGGTTATTTTAGCCTTATAAAACACACTGAGAAGTGTGCCCACCTCCTACATTGTCTAAAAGAGTTTATATAAGATTGATGTCATTGCTTAACTGTTTGAAAGAATAATACGTAAGTGAACCTACCTGGTCCTGGAACTTTCTCTGTGGAAGGTTTTCGATAATTCAATTAACAGGGCAATTCTCAAACATTTTGGTCTCAGGACCCCTTTGCGCTAGGAAAGCAATTGAGGACTCTATTTATGTGGATTATATCTACCAATATTTACTATATTAGAAATAAAACTAATAAATTAGAAAAATATTTGTTAATTTACTTAAAAATAAAATAACCCATTGTATCTTAACATAAATAACATTTTCATTAAAAACAACTATTTTCCAAAACAAAGAAGTTTAGTGAGAAAAATAGCATTGTTTTACATTTTTGCAAATCTCTTTAATGTCTAACTTAATAGGAGACGGCTGGATTCTCAATTTCTGCTTCTGCATTTAATTCAGTAAAATAGGTTGTTTTAGTTGAAATATATAAAGAAAATCCAACCTCACACCAACATGTAGGTGAGGATGAGAGGGGTATATCATAGCCTTCTCAGATATTTGTAGATCTTTTTTGATTTTACACCAAAAGTGCTATTTCATAAGTTAGTTGCAGTGAGGAATCTGAAATCCTACCAGTGTACTTTTTGTACTCTGCTGCATTAAACCCATTGGCTATCTTGGATCTTTTAGACATACGTGATTTTGTAACATCGTTTGGTCGTTTGGAAAATATTGGTTCACTGAGTTATGCAAATGTACATTTCATTATACATATTAAAAAATCTCATTTGCTGATATCACCACTGATCTTGTCAGAAAAGCCTTTAAGTATTAGGAAGATGTCCAGCTCATGGTACCCAATACATAAGGTTTCTGAAATTCTAACTTTTGTTTGAAAGCTTAAATTTCATCCTTAGCAAAAATAGTCAGTTACTATTTTCCTTAAAGTGGCAGGCTCGCTTTTTTCATTTTTGAGAAAAAAGTCTGCCGCATACCCAAGTCTGAATAACCAGTTTGTCTTTACGTCGTTTTTACAAAAAAAAAAAAAAGTGTTCCATGTAAGTAACTAATTTATCTCATAATCCACACGAGTATGGTTCTTCATCTTTGCCAACATTTGGTATGATCCGTCTCTTTCACTTCAGCCATCCTGGTGAGTGGATGGGTAGTGGTATCTCATTGTGGTTTTAATGTCCCTTTTCTTAATGACTAATTATTGACTCACTGGCTGTCTCGTCCTGTGAATGCTCAAATCCTTTACTATCGTTTTACCATCGTTTTACCATTGTCTGTCTTACTGTTGGTTGTGGTCTTTATATGTTCTAGATACATTTCCTTGATCAGACATACAAGCTGCTAGTGTTTTCTCATAGTCTGTAGGAAGTTCCCTTCTATTCCTTTCTCCTCCCTCTCTGAACTCCAATTACTTACATATGTTGTCTCCTGGCTCAACTTATTTTCTTGTCTTTTTTCCAGACTTTTTTCTCTGTTTCTCATTTTGGGCAGTTGCTTTTGCTATTGGTTCAAGTTCATCAGTCTTCTTTCTATACTCAGACATTACTCCCACCCATATTTTCCATCTGACATAATTTCTATCCCTGGTGATCTATACTGGTTCTTTTCTCTTTGTCTTCCATGTCTTTTTGTTATGCTTATTCTTTCCCCTACCTTCCTGAGCATATGAAGTATATTTATAAAAGCTATTGCAAAGTCTTTGACTCTAGTGTCAATTCTACATGTATTTCTATCGATTCTTTATTATGGTTCATATTTTCCTGCTTCTTTGCATGCCTGGTAATTTTTTATTGGATTCCAGACGTTGTAAATCTTTTAGGTTGTTGAGTGATGGAGTCCTGGGTGTGTAGTCTTACAAATATTATTGAGCTTAGTTCTGGGATAAGAGTAAGTTACTTAGAAACAATTTGATCCTTTTGCGGCTGTATTTTATCTTCGTCAGGTGGGTGCAGAATAGCATTGAATCTTGGGCTAATTTCACCCCACTACCAAGGCAATGCCCTTTTGAGAATTCTTGATGCCTAGTGTGTTGGCAGGTCTTCCCACCAGGCTGGTGGAACTACTCCTGGCCTGTGTGGTCAGTCTCAGGGATTGTCCCACCTGCTCCTTCCTGATGGTCTTTCTGTGGCCTCGGGTGCTTTCGCCTCTCACATGCACTGGTCATTAGTCAGATGAAGACTCAGTTAGGACCCTCTTCAGGTCTCCGGAGCACGCGTGCTCATGCTTGTGCTCTCTCTCTCTCCCCTTCCCTCACTCTCCCTGCTACCCTTCTTTCCCACCCTCTGATTTTCCTCTTTATATTTGGTTCTCAGCAGTTTGAAGATGATGTCATTTTCATTGTAGTGATCCTGAGCTGCTTAGATCTGTAACTTTATGTCTCACTAAATTTGGGAAATTTGTCATTTTTTTCTTCAAATATTTTTTTCTGCCTCAATCTCTCTTTCTGGGACTTGAATTAAATGCTAGTCTTTTTTATACTAAGTGGACAGACATTTGTAATTACTGTTCATTGTTTTCAATCTTTTCCCTCGATTATTTGACTTATATTGACCTATCTTCAAATATACTTTCTTCAGCTGTCTTCGACCTGCTGCTTACCCATTCAACAAATTTTTCATGAGTTTGTATTTTTCAGTTCTAGTATTTAAACTTAGTTTTTTTCCTTACTAAAATTTCCTGTTCATTCATTAAAAACTTATTTTCCTTTATACACGAGCATAGTTATAATTGCTGTTCTGAAGTCTTTGCTGCTAATTCCAACATCTGGAACCTGTCAAAATAGTCTCCATTATGTCTTTTCTTTGGAGTCTAGGTCAAGTTTTTCTGTTCTTATGTCTAGCATTTTGTGTGTGTGTGTGTGTGTGTGTGTGTGTGTGTGTGTGTGTGTGTGTGTTTTAGACATACAATGTTATCCAATGGGATAAACCATTGTAGAGACTCTGGATTCTGTTATGTTCCTCCAAAGAGTATTACTGTTTCTTTCCCAATGGGATAAATCATTGTAGAGACTCTGGATTCCGTTATGTTCCTCCAAAGAGTATTACTGTTTCTTTCTCCTTCCTGCCTGCCTGCCTGCCTGCCAACATCTTTGCTCAACTGAGTCTAACCTCTCCCCTCCGGTGGGCAGCGGCTGTAATCTCTGCTCAGTACTTTAGCTTTGGTCAGGCTCCTCGAAGTCTGCCATTATCCCCACCACATGAAGAGTGCAGGATCCACCAGAGATCGGGGCAGAGTTCATACTCAGAATTTGGGCTCTCCCTCAATGATTCTTTTCCAATATTTTCTCACATTCCAGCTGCTATGGTTGACCCCAATTCTGATTCTAGTCTTCAAGCCAGTAATAGTGTGGGTTTCTATGAGCCTTTTTTATTGTATGTGCCTTTTAGCTTCTCACAGTAGCCTTGACTGGGGCCTCCCTTGTGGAAAAAGTTACAATGAACCAGAAACTCGTCCCTTGCCCCTCCCTCCTTCTAAATGTCCATTCCCTCCCACCCACCTGTCTCAGTTGTTCTCCAGTGTCTATGTTTTTCCCTTGTGAGAGGGTTGATCTGAGTTACTTAGCTATTACCAGAAGCTTCTCTCATTTTTCTCAATCATAATCTTCTTATAACCAACATAAAAATTGCACCTGGCTGCATTTTTCCTTTGTGTTCCAAAAGGTGTCATACAGAATTTGCCAAACCCACATACTCTGCCTACATTGTCTCCTTCAACCATCAGCTCAGTTAACCAACAGATAGTTCCTGGTGAGACTAGTGACCCCAAGGAATCTCTCGGCTCCCCTTCCTAAGTGCTCCCTAACTGAGTATTGACAAGTTAGTTTCAGAAATGTTGCTAGTGAACTATGCCAGCCTCATTAAACTGTGGTTTCCAGAATTCACAGGAAAGTTATCCATCAGCGGCTCCCCACAGCGTGAAAGGTCAGCACCATGAAACCCAGATTTCCTGGTCTGAGCACTTGTTTCCTCTTAGCCCCCCACCATGTGCACTTACTGACCCATGTGTTTGTTGGGAGAAAACAGCTCTAAATCTGATCTCGACAAGAAAATAAATGAAAACACAATTAGACTGCGGAGATGTCCAGACCACTGTATCCTCAAAATTAACGGAAAAATCATATTTTAAGTATTCCATCAAATTCCTGACCCTTGTTGGAAGCCTATGGAATTTAGGAACTCTAAATTTTTTTGAAGTCTATACATCTAGAAAGTCTAGGCATGCCCAAGTTTCCTCTTGGTGGGCAAAGTTAAGCCCCTTGTTGCTGCTCTGATGTCCCTCCTCCGTTTCATTTCCAAACTCCTTACCTTGTTTTCATCCCACCCTCACTGCCCTGTCAGCAGAGTCCAGTTCTGACACTCCTGACGTTGGACAGTATCTTCAGTGGTCAGGACATCCAGTAATGTTTCTTTGTTGTCCTTCACCCGTCTTTGGTGGCCATATCTTCCTTCTAGAAACTGCTCCTGCCTTTTACTAAAGAAACCAGCTCTACACACCAAGAAGTTATACTGCTGGGTCCTTCCTGACCACGTGGGTCTTCCTGAATCAGCTCCTGCTTCCCTTCCTCCCCCCCACCCCACCCCCCGTGTCAGTACTCCCTGAACTCTGCTTGCTGCCAGACCTCTCCACTGGCAGCTCTGGCCACCCTCATGCTGCTCCTACACTGGGCCAGCCTTGGTCTTAGCGTGCTGTGCCCTGTGTGCTTAGCACAGAGCCTGGCCCACAGCAGGCAAGTGGTAGACATCTACAGAAGCCTCTTCCTATGTGGCTGTCTCCTCTCCCTCTGGTGTGAGAACTCCTGGGAGGCTGTGCTGTGCCCATCACATCCCTCCAAAAGCCGTATCTTATTTCTTATATTTATAATCTTTATCTTTTGTTTCTCATAGCTTAAGTTATATCTGTCCAAAATAAAATTGTTCTAAAAGTTTTTAGCACCGTTAAGAAATACTGAGATCTGATCATTATTCCTCAAAAGGAAAACTAGAAGCTCTTAGAAATTTTGGTCACATTCTGAATTGATATGAAGTGTATCTTGTGGGTATGCCTTAGAAGCCACATGAGGCTCTGTTCCTTCCCCCTCATGCTTGTATGCAGCCTTCCCTATGGGTGGGGTGTAGCAAATGTTAGCAGGTGCAGGCAGGCATGGCAGCTGTAGGCAGGTATGGGCAGGCATAGCAGGTATGGGCAGGCATGGGCAGTATAGCAGGTACGAGCAGGTATAGGCACACATAGCAGGTATGGGTAGGTGTGGGCAGGTGAAGCAGGTATAGGCAGGTGAAGCAGGTACAGGCAGGCATAAAAGGTATGGGCAGTTATAGGCAGGTGTAGCACATATTGGCAGGTATAAGCAGGTGTAACAGGTACGGGCAGGTATGGGCAGGCACAGCAGGTGTGAGCAGGTGTAGCCGGCATAGCAGATGTAAGCACGCCTGTCCTGCCTCAGACCCCCTACCCCTGAGCTGCTTTATATGATACCCCAGTGCTCTCCCACAGATTCCCACTGGTGGGACCAGAGGAAAATTACGGAATTTACTGGCCTAAGATCAAGGACACAAGAGACTCAAATTAATCATAGGCCCAATTAACTGGGGTACATTGGATGCTTGGTCAAAATAAAGACAAACCATGTACATATTGCTGCCTGCTCTCCAACTCAACAAGCATATGCCTCAAAGTACATGAAAAAGATGGAACTGTGAATCTGTCCTTCCCTCGGGGTCTCCCTGTGTGCCTCCAAGGAGAAGAGATCCTAAAGGGAGCAGAGTTCCAAAACACACATGGGTGCTCGTACGCGGGCCGCTCCCAGGGTTTTCAAGGAAGTGGCTATTCCTACTCAGCTGGTAGTGCTGATCACAGCTCACAGCTCTGACCACGGGAGCCTGAGCCAGGCTGTCCTCAGACACCACCACCTCATGAAAGGCTGCAAAGTTCCAGACTGCACCCGAGTCCCTTGAATGAAGGCATCCTCCCCCTGCTCACTTGAGAAGCAGGGCCAGCTTTCCTCTGACCTCAGGGGGCGTTCAGGAAACACTGCAGCAGACAAAGGGCATGGGCCCTTGGTTCTCATGTGGGCTAACCTAATAATGGCTGTTGTGTGTGATGCAGGCCTACAAGTATCTGGAGGAGATGCGGAGGAGACTTCCCGCTGCCAACGTGTCCTACTACGTGAACCAGCGGGCCGTGGACGCTGTGCACCAAGGCCTGGGCATCCCTCTGGCGCGCATCATGCCCGAGCGGATCCGCCACAACAGCATGGAGGACCCCAAGGAGGTGGACGAGGAGGTGATGGAGGAGGTCGAGAACGAATCCTGAGGGCCTACTGCTGCAAAAGCTCTTCTAGCACTTTCCGGTCATCAGTAGAAGACCCTGACTCTCTTGTTGAAAGGAAAACTTTTGAGTGTGTAGCCACGGGCCTGCTTAGAAGGGGAGAGCGTGCATTTCTACGCCACCCCTTCTGCATTCCTGGCCCTGCGGAGTTCTGGTTTAGCTCCTTTACTTTCAAGGGAATGTCATGTTGCCCTTGGCATTCTCCCAAGTACAGATTGTGAAGCCTAAGAAACTTCTAGAACTTCACGAAGTGAGGATGGTACACTGCGCCTCATCCAAGCACCCAAATGGGTTGCTTAACAGCGCATCCAGGTTTTCAAGGGCCATTCCTGGGACACAAGGGCAGCTGGCAGAAGGTGGGTCTTCAGGCAACTACACAGCAGCTCTGATGGCTCTGTCCTTTAGGTTGTGCCCTTTCTGTCACCAGTTCTCACTGCAAGGGAAGGGCGACTTCAAGCTCCACGCACCGGCTGCTGAAACTCTCCTAATAAAGTTTATTTCCTCTGAAGCACGTCTCTCCTTCCTGCCCTGGCCCCGTTTTCATGTCTCCCCTCTGGAGGACTCACCTAGGCACTGAGGTCCCTCCCTGGGCAGTGAGAACCACAGAGCACGGGTTGCACACCTATAGCTCCTTTTTATTCTTCTTTTTGTTTTATAACATCACCTGCCTTTAGGTAAGGACATGATGCTAAGAAGCCCACGGGCCCAGGAGCCCACCACTCTGCCCATCTTGGCGGCTCCCATGGGAGAACATCCAGGCCCTGAGCAGCAGCACCCTCTCGCTCCTCCCCTCCAGCTGCCTGCAAAGCCTGCCCCATGTCCCTCCCTGGGATCCTTCCTTGGGTTCGCCCCTCCCCAGCATTCAGGTGCTCCATCCATTGGGGGCAGTACTCAGAGGCCCTGGAGTGGACTTTTAGGTGAGCACTCAGACCTGCTGGGCTATAAACAGCTGAGAGGCGGGGGCCTTCCAGCTTGCACGCTCAATACCGCATGGACGGCCTACCCCACGAGCGGCCGCACCACAAAGCCCATACGTTGGCCTGGCTCGGCCTTGCACTTGGCGCCCCTGGCCTTCTTCCCCTGGCACTAGAAATAGTGCCAGGGGACTAAGAAGATAGTGGAAGAAGCTTGTCTTTGAGTTTCTCCAGGAGCAGCAGTGCCTTCACGGCCAGCATCCTACAGTCTTCATCTGGGTCCTTCTCAGCCACATCTGCCAAAGATGGAAATAAAACCAGACCACAGGCAGCATCTATGGCACTGAGCAGGGCAGCCCTCTTCAGTTTTGTTTGATTTGGGCCTTCCTAAAGGAGCCCGCATGGGGGACTGATGTAGCTGGCTGTCCTGGGCCTCAGGCATGTGGCACCAGACCCTCTTGCTGAGGCCCCTAATGACAGAAGCACCTTAGATGCCAGCAGAGTCGTTTACTGCATCCCTGTGAGAGAGTAGATGCTCCCATCCACCTGGGCTAGGAACTCTGGCCAGGTGATGGCAACAAAAAGGAGGCTGGGACAGGTAAACACATGCCCCCAAGAGTCACTCCAAGGTCACCACTCTCACCTCAGGGAAGGTGCCTGCACCCCAAAGCAATGGAGCGCATCCCAGGACGAGAGACACTGGATGCCACACACTTGCAGCACAAGGCCCCGAGAAGGATCACCCAGAGCCATCCTGACACATGTAACTTGAGACACAGAGAAACCTACGTGGTGGGGCGCACTGCACACCAACAAAACGAGACACTAGGGGCAAACAGACAATAGGAGCTAGGGATGCAGGGTGGCTCAGGGTCCCGAAGGAGCCTTGACTGGACCCAGGATCCAGCAGAAAGAAAGGGAAAAGGCCATTACGGGACCACTGGGCCTTCAAGTGCGGCTATAGATTAGATGGTCCAGTCCTAGCCGTGAGCTCCAATGGTGGAAGGGGTATGGTGGCTCATGTGGCTACATACTGGTGACAACAAAGTTTTTTAAAAGTACATGTAGGTGGAAGGATGAGAACAAAATATGGCAAAATGCTAACAATCAGTGAATCTTGTGAGGATACATGGTGCTCACTGTATGGCTCCTGTAACCTTTTTGAAGAGTTAGAATTTTCCAGAAGGAATATAAATGCCATTTCCTGCATGAGTGCCTTCTCTCAAGTCCCCCTATAAGATGCTTAGAGTGTAAACAAGGAGCGACATGACACTCATGCTGGGCTGTGGACTGGGGCTCACTCAGCTCAAGGGATCACCACAATGGTCCACATACCCTGACGGCCACTGGGACCCTCCAGGTTGCACCAGCCTCCCACCCACCTCACTACCACAGCCCGGGACCTGGCACTCACCTGCCAGCCATGACCGGGCTTCCAGCAGCTCGTCTGGCAAGTCTGCCAGCAGTCGCTCAGCTGGGACACTGAGGAGGACGGAGGAGACAGCGGACAGCAAGCCCCGGCGCACGTAGCTGCCAAGCAGGGTGGAGGGTTGAGCCCCAACAGAGCCGTAGCCTGGCCAGGCAGACCTCGCTTCTCAGCACAGAAGCCCCACTGGCAGCAAAGGCGCTCTTGGCCCTGCATAGCCCCCTTCCTTGCCCCCTTCCTTCTTAGAAGTGCCAGACCCAGCTGCCTCTCAGCCACCCTTGGAAGCCACCATCAGCCTCTCAATGTCCACTTGCCAGGATTCAGAGCCCCTCCTACCACATCCACATGAGACCACTGCCCCCAGTCCCTTGGCCACTCACGCATCACCATGGAAGCGAAGGGCCCACACGAACTCAAGCAGGGTCTTGCCCATGGACACAGCCACCTGAAATAGCAGAGTCCAGTTGGATGCGGTCCTGGCACCCGAGTCCCCACCTTGGACACCGTCTTCAGGCCCAAACGCTCCTGTCTGCAGGGCCAAGGTGAGGCCCATGGGGAGGACAAACCACTGGCACACAATCCACGTGAGGTGGAGGCCATTAGCTGCCAGTTCCCAGCTCACCGTGGTGTTCACAGCCAGGTACATCAGGACCCCTAAGGTGTGGGCCAGTCTCCCAAGAACCAATTGGTCATCTCCCAGAAGGTCAAAGGTCACTAGAGGCCTACAACAAAGAATCTGGTGAATGATGCAGGTCTGGCACTGAGGGCCAACTCCCTCCTGGGCCACCAAGGGACACCCCAGTGCCCTGGATGCTGCTCCTCACCACCTATCTCCTTGTGGCACTCACAGTCATAAGGAGAAGGTGTTGGACAGACATCCAATCACTCTGCAAGGCTGCATGGCCCAAGCCTGGGCCTCGGTGGCATTTGGGGGAAGCAAGGCCACCACCTAAAGGACCATACAGCAAAGGCGGCAGCCCCCAACCCTGCCTCTGTGGGGAAGGGCTCTAGGCTCTGCCCTCTCCACCATCACTGGAGCATCACAGCCTGTGTGGCAGTGGTTGAGGGGACATCTATACAAGGCCAAGGCTTTACAAGGAGACAAAGGAGAAGTGGGCAGAGCACGTGCAGCATCGAGGCGCCAGCAAAGTTGAGGCCCTGATACGAACCTGACATCTGTGACAGAAGCCGTGATCCCTAATGCTTTCACCACATCATTTAATTTAAAGCTATGAACAACCACAGCTGAGGTGGTGACCCGGCTGCTGACCAAAGTCCCACCCAGACCCCAACTTGGGAAGCCTCCTGTCTGCAAAGTGTCCATGGCTCATGTTCCCCAAATCACAGGCCTCCCACTCACCTGTCAAAACGCTGAATAAGGGGGAAGAAGAAGTAGCCAGCCACCGAGTTGAATTCATTGGGGCTGCCAGCTGGTCCCCGCCTGGGAGAGCCCTGCCAAACACACAGGGCTCACAGGGCACCACACTGGGTGCAGCATGCAGCCCTCCTTCCCCCATGCAGGACAGTCTCATGGAGGGGCCATCCTGCATGCTGTGGGAGGGTGAGCAGCCTCCCTGGACCCCACCAGCTGGATGCCAGCATCACCCATCCCCAGTGACAACCAAGAATGTCTCCAGAAGGGGCCAAATGTCTCAGGGAGGGAGGGGCAAGATTAGACTTTCCTTCCTTTATATCAGCCCTGGCCTAGATAGACCCCAACAGCACAGCCCACACCAGGTCATCCGCTGCTGACATAGAATTCTTAGGGCTTTTTTCACGCCTGCCTTTGTATTCATGTTTTAAAACCATATCAGTCTGATGCGCGACAACATTATGTCACACAGCGTAGTTTGTGCCCAAAACTCTCCTTTCACAGACCACCAGCGTTGGCACTGCTCCCTCTAAGCAGACATTGCCTAGACGTGGCCAACTGCTTGGCCAGCCTGCCCAAACTCCCCACCCATGAAGACCTGACCAGGGTCCTGGCTGACCTTCGAAAAGTGCCGGGTCTTGCTTCTGACCCGCTCGTCCACCACTGCCCGCCAGGTGGGAGTCACAGTGCAGCCAGACTGGGAGGTGGGGTCCAGGGAGCTGCGCTGGGGGGTCCTCCCAAGGCGCCCGGGACGAGACAGCTCCTGGGCAGCCAGAGTCAGGACCTAGAGAAGAGAAAGACTCAAGGAAGCTGCCATCACTCTAGGGAAGAATGACATTTTTTAAGTTCAAGGTAAACCAAGTGCCCCATCAACAGCCCTCACTGTCTTTGAGGGGGAGGTTCAGGGACCCACGTAGGGAGTCAGTTCCAAGCATCTCAGGATCACACTTCATTTTGTGGGGGTTCAAGAAGGAAAGGTGGGCATGCTCCCTGGTGACTCGCCAGTGCTCCACTCCCCTCGCCTGGGCTGCTTCCCTTCCCAAAGCTGGTCCAATCCTGCCCCCTGCCTCACAAGAAAAGGTCATGAAGTTCTGACCCAGGCTACGTGTGGGTGGGCCCTGAAAATATGCGAGTGAAAGAAGCAAGACCCAGGAGGCCACACATATGACTTTCCGCATAGGAAGTACCCAAAACAGGCAAATCCATAGAAACGAAGAGTGGACTGGTAGATACAGGGACTCGGGGAGAGGAAGTGAGTGCTCATGGGCTATCTCTGAGGATGCTGCCAGATGTTCTGAAAGTAAACAGATGTGACAGTCATACAACATTATGAATGTACCAAATGCCACTGAATTGTAAACACAAAAACAGTGAATTTTTTTTTTTACTATCGTCTTAGTCTTCGCTTTCCTCTGGTAAAATACACCTAACACATACCATCTCAACTACTGTTAAGTTCAATGGCATTAAGTACGTTCACATTGTTGTGCAATCATCACCACCGTCCATTGCCAGAACTTCTTCAGCTTCTCAAAATGAACCTCTGAACCCATTAAACACTAACTCTCCATCCCACTCCCAGCCCCTGCACCCCCATTCTACTTTGTCTCTGTGATTTTGACTGCTCCAGAAACCTCATGTAAGTGGAATCATATAGTATTTATTTATTTTTTGTCTGGCTTGTTTCACTTAGCATAACACCCTCCAGATTCATCCACATTGTAGCAAGTGTCATAATTTCATTTCTTTTTTTCCTTTTATTTTTTTTAGGCAAGGTAACCCTTGGTTGACCTCACGGATTGCAAGGACCTTGTCAGTTTACAATCCCTTATTTTTTATTTTTTACGCCTACAGCACCTGGTCTTCCTAAGTGGTCTCCCTTTCAAGTACTAACCAGGCCCAACCCTGCTTAGCTTCCGAGATCAGACAGGATTGGGCTTGTTAAGGATAGTATGGCCGTAGACATAATTTCATTTCTTTTTATCAGAAAGACACTGGTCCCAGCCTCTCAGGTCTAGCAACAAGAGACTCAGGAGGACTCTAGACCTGCCCACATAGATTTTGGCAAACACCTGCTCTCCTTTTGGAGGCTTTGCATCAGGCCTGGCCCCTTAAGGTAGCTTGCACCTGACAAATGGGACAGGGACCCACAGGCACTCACGTCCAGGATGTCCATGCGCTGCCGGAGGCTGTAGTTGACAGCATAGAACTGTGAGGTCAGATACTCCGCTACCTGAGCCAGGCAAACGAAAGGCCGCTGAGGTCCACAATTCCGGAGGTAGGGCCCCAATACAGACTATACCTGGGGAGGAGGGGGCACGACCTCGGCACCACACAGCTGCTGAGACTCACTCGGGCAGGGTCTGTAACTGTGACGGCCACCAGGGCTCTCTGGCGCAGCCCCTCAAATCCCACCACACTCGTCTTCTCCTCCAGGTGCAGGAGCACCTTGGCCAGCTCCACGCTCACCTGTACACAGGGGTCAGGGAAACTTCACTGCCCCCAAGATGCCCCAGACACCCCCACAGCCCTCAGTCTTCCTTACAATAGAATAGACACATCTCAGAGAGCCCAGCAAAGGTCCCAGTGACAGGCCTCCTGAGGGGACACAGAGCCACCAAGGCACACACATGAGCCAGACTAGATTCCCTCATTGCACACATTCCTCCCAGGACATTACCCGCCAACCATGACCCTGAGATCCCAGCTCCCCTGCCCAGTCACCTCCCGAGTGGCAGCCGGATTCCTGAAGACCAGCCCCTCGAGGGCCCGCAAGGCTGCCTCCCAGCGCTCCCAGTCCTCAGACGTGGTCAGGGCTGCACAGAACCCACACGGGCCTCTGTCAGTTTCAGCCCTGACCTTGACCATGACAGAGACAGCAGCCAGGGTCTGTGCACTAGGCAGAAGGCAGGTGTATTCCTGGGACATGGACAGGTCCCACAGCCCAGCAGCCCCAGGGGCCTAAGTACCCAGCTGTGCCTGGGGCTGGGGCCTCCCCACAGGGCACTTAGCAGGGCTCACATCGTGAATAGAGGCCCACCTTCCACGCAGTCCCGGACGTACATGGGTGCCTTGCTGCTCTTCAGCTCTCGGTCCCCCGACATGTCATAGGGGACAAACTCATCATCACTATGGAAGAAGCACATGGGGCCTGCTGGTTGCCCAGGAATAGACAACGGGCAGGGTAGGAACCCCTGAAAGTTAAAGCTGGGCACCCTCTGCCACAAAGACAAACTCCTGAGTCACCAAAATTCCTCAGTCCCTGAAGCTTCAAGAACAGCTGACAGGCTAAGGCTGCAGTAGAACTAAGCCCCTGAGTACTGGTTTTCATATGGGGAAAAAAACTGGAGAGTTCTCAGAGCCAGCACAGCCCTGCGGCACGAGCCCCCCATCTCAAGACAGGCCCATCAGCCCTCCCGATTACCTGGTGGGCTCTGATGCCAGCAAGGGACTGCCGCATGCCTCCCCAGCACCTTCCTATCACGCTACCTGTCAAGCTCAGAGTCAGAACCCTCTGGCTGCGCCTGGGGGACACCATCATCCACATTTTCTTTGTCAGGGGCCTCTGTAGCAACTGGAGTGACAGATGGGCTTTTGGGAAACAAGGAGAAAAGAACCCTTCAGGGACACCCCACAATGAATTTCTAGTCCCGGAGTCTAAAAAAATGTTCCTCCTACCCCACCCTCATCTTTTTAGCTTCTGTCTCGGAAACTTGAATCCAGGATGATAAAACAGAATCTAACAAGTGCACAGGAATCACCCCCACCTGGCCAACCATGCCCAGAGCTCAGGGTGGAGAGACCTCACCTTGCCTCTGAGGGGCTGTCAGCCACAGGCTGGAGGGTGGCCAACGCCAGCATCTCACGGCTCAACTCGTCCTCTTCATACTATAATGAAAAAGAGCTGGCGTTGGCTGAGACAGGAGTGGCAGAGCCGAGGCCCCTCCGAGGCCCTGCCATTATAGCCCCCAGTCTGTACACCACTGGTCTCTGGCGGCCAGAACCTCTTAAGAGTGACTTTCTAAGTCTCCACCTCGGCAGAGAGCAGCGCTGGGTACACTGAAGGCTCCACTCCTCCTGAGGGAGCTAGAAAATCCCCTGGGACAGAGTAGATGTGGCAGCAGCCCCAAGGATGTCCCAGAGTTGGGGATGCCTAGGATGGCCTGAGAGTTAAACACCCAGGGATCCACCTGGAGGACTTCCTAGGTCACAACTGAGGGCCTATATCTCCACTCCCTTCTGAGCCGTGACCCTTGTCAGGGCCACCGAGGTCAACTTGATGCCAACAGATGCTCCATGGGCCTGAACCCAGAAAGATGAGGTGACATAGGGGAATGGAGTGACAGCAGTTTGGGGAGACCACACAGGTACAATCCTCGCTCACCTGGAACTTCAGGGGAGGCCCCTCAGGGTGGATCCGGGCACTGGCCACTTCGGCCACGATCATGCCCAGGCGGCGCACAGCAGGCAGGCTGCTGTCCAGGCGGCATTTCACTCCTGCCATCAGGCTGGCCAACAACTCTGGAAGCATCAATGCATGCATGCTGAGCACAGGGGAGGGATGGGGGGTACAGGGACTGGGACGGGGTGCCCTTCACCACCTGCTCACCGTCCCGGCTGTCCTGGAGCTCTTCATCCCCCAGGTGTGCTAGGCAGATGAGGACAGCCTTACTGATGTAGCGCTGCTGTGGCAGGGGTGTGTGGCGGACCGCGCTGCTGCTGCCCCACATCTCCAGGAGCTCCTTCAGCGCCTGGCAGACAGCACGACCCCAGCTTCCTCAGACAGCCCCACCTGCTTCCCCTCCATCCCAGGCAAGAACGCAATCCCTCTCCATCCTACCAGAAAGTGGTCTTGGGACATTGCAGGGACTGAGGACCAGACAGGACTTACCTGTATGAGGAGTGGGCGCCGTTGGCTGTCCATGGCCAGGTACCCTAGCAGGCTCTGCAGCACAGGCGTCTGCAACAGAAGCCAAGTGTCCTGTCACTGTCTGCCAAGCAGACACCATCCACCTGCCACCTGCCTAGCCAGGGGAGCCCAGGGGACCGAGGTCCATCTGCCCAGGAGTCCCAGAGTGGGAATGGGTCTGGGATAAAGGACAATGACATTTCCTGGACAACTGAGCACTGCTCCAGCTCCACTTGCTACAGTCATTTCTCTGGGACCTGAGGCGTCCCGCAGCCCACACCCTCACCGGCTCTCACCGTGTATCCATACTGTAGGAACAGAAGCTTCTGGGTCATCACAAACTGGGCCTTCTTATTCTTCATCACCAAGTTCCCCAACAGTCTAGAGAGGACTTCAGGCCTGCGAAGGACAATTGGGAGGAGAGGGAATCTCAACAGATCAGGCTGGATCCGGGACTCCACGCTAGCCACGGGGGAGCCTTGGCAAGTGCTTCAGGTCCAAGTCAGTCCTGATGCTCCCTCTTCCCAGTAACGTGGAAGCCAGGAAGAGCCCTGCACCTCAACGCAAGAGGACATCCCTTCCCTGCTCTGACCATATCCAGGGTTAAATGCTTCTCCTGGAGTAGGGGCGCCAGCCTTTCCTGTGAAGGACCAAAAACCAACTACATAAAGACAAAGGGATGGCAGACATGGATGATCTGGATCCCCACTTCCCACCTTCCTGGAAAAGAAGCATTTCCATTGGAAAGGGTGCCTTGCTTCTTACCTGGAGGCAGTTTCCACGAGCCCCGTCAGCACAGCCTCCATGGCCCGGTCAGGCACGCGTTCCACCAGGCGCCAGCAGACCCGCTGCCAGAGGCAGCTGCTCTGGGTGAGTGCTGTCAGCCGGGGCACCAGCACACCCAGGATCTCCTCTGAGAAGCACATAGAGGAGGCCCTGAGCCTGGAGCTATGGATTGTCTGGTGTCTGCACCCCATAGGTCCACCAGTTGCATAGCCAAGCCCTCGCCAAGGGGCCCAGGACAGCTGGCATCAGCCCACCCAGGGCCAGGCCCCGGCAAGGGGACCATTGCTGCTTTGGGACACACAGAGAAGCTCCCACCTTCCACCAGAGAACCACAATGCACGCCCCCTCCCAGGACAGCTGCCAGGAGAAACAGGGAGAGTGCCAGAATGTACTTTGGCTTCTCCCCAGACAGGAAACACTCACTCTGCCTCCCATGGACACAGGCTTTCCCAAGGACCTGAGACACGAAAGAGACAGAGCAGTCCAAGCCACCTGAGACAGGAAGGAATACGAGCTTTTAAAGGAGGGCGGTAGTAAGGCCATCAAAGAACTGACAAGTGGGGACAGAACTCATTCCTAGGCAGGTGGACTCCACGTTGTAAAAATGCCAATTCATTCAATCAATCCAACCAAAGTCTTAATAGAATTGTTTCTAACTTGAAGAGCCAATAATAACTGTTTACAAACCTTAACACATATTCGCCCGCTTAATCATCACAACGATCCTCCAAAGCAAGGATGAGTATGGCGGCACCAGGAGGAGAGGCACCGAGAGGGGTCTGGCTGAGTTGGCCAGCTACAGGTAGGGGCAGGTGGGGCTCTGAGCCACCCACAGGGAGAAAGGGAAGATATGAGGACATGGTAATAAGGAGAGAGTGGGTGGCACAAACTCTACCGGAAGAGCCAAGATGGTGGAGCTGACCAGGATTCAGACAAGACCCACACACAATGGAAATACCATATTTGTGATTTGAAGAGGGGTATCTGAGACCACACACAGCCACTGCACAAGCAGACTAGATACAGTCTGGCTATTCAGAACATCCTGCGGGCATTACCCAGCACAAAACAGTGGGGCTGGGTGGCCTGGTCAGTTAAATGCAGGAGCCTCACTTCGATGTGGCTCCCTCCCCATGGACAGCGATAGTGCCTCTCTCAAGCACGGTCTCAGAACTATCTGAAGCAACACATGTGAAGAGCCTCAAGCAGCACCTGACATGGTGCTCACTCCACAGCCTCAGCTGCTGAGAGCACTGGACACGCCCAGGCAAGACACTTGCCGCCACGACTGATGCCCCAAAGACTTTGTGATGAAAGGATGAGCAAGAAGCTGCTCCCACAGAGCCTCTCCATGCACGCAAGATGCCCAGTGACAGACACCTGAGACAGACATAAGCCAACTAAGACAAGCGGACCCTGGCCAACAGCCAAGAGAGAAGGACTCTCGTCAGGTGAGAGCTCTGGTTTTCAGACCATGGACATTCATGCTGATGCTGAGTGGGGGCCCAGCAGTGAGCAGACACACATGGCCAGCTTCACCTATGTACATCCAAGAATTGAAGAAATCAAGAGTCAGCTCCACCTCTAAGGTCAACAACTGAGAAGTGGGTAAAACTTTAGCATGTGGATTGCTACCACCCCAAACAGGAGACAACTTCTGACTCATTGATAGCACTACCCAGAGACTGCAAAGTCCCCAGAGGCTGGGGAGGGAGCGAGGGGACAGCAGACTGAGAAAACAGCTGGAAAAGGACACTTCGAAGGAGTCCTCACCTCGGAGAGAGTCGACAATTGCCTGCAGCACCTGCACGACCTCCTCACCGAGCAGAAGGAAGTAGTTCTGAGGGAAGAACTCCGACAGGTTCTCATGCTGCAGACAGTTGCCTAGGCGGTCGGGCAAGCCCACCACCTTGCTGAGGAGTGCCTCCTGGAGCGGGGGGAAGGCCAACTCTGTCTGCTGCCAACACTGCCCCTCCATCACAGCGGCCATCCTGCCCTCCCTCAGGAACCGGGCCAGCAGCTGCGCCATCTTCATCAGACGGAAGCTGGGGCTGAACCAAGAGCAGGTGTGATGGGCAGAGCCCCCAAGCATCTCCATCCCCAGCACCCTCAGCCAAAAGGAATAGCAACAGCCATCATTAAAAAGGTAATTCCAACCACTTAATCGGCGCTTATATCCTATTCATAGGTTGAAAGAGTATTTAAATCTTGCTAAGTAGCCACAATTACTAGTCGGACACAAGTCCCTGCTGAGTCCAGCGCAACCTTCCACCTCAGAATCACACTGCCCTCTCCTGACGGTGCTTTTCACATGGTGCTTGCTTTTTTTTTTTATCACAGCAACCACTGAAAACCCAGCTTCGCAATGACGAGGTGTGTCATGTGCCCAGGTGTGGAATATGGGAACCATCTCAAGTTTGGGATCCTGTGAGGTTGCTGCAGCGCCCAGGTGCCTCACGGGAGAGCTCAAACCACATGGTGAAGGAGAGGGCCCAGGAGGATGACAATGCCCACTGCTACCCATGTCTCCTCAGTCTGGAGCTAACCCACTGCCTCAGCCACTGGGACATGAACACTCCTGCTCCCTCCCTTCATCTACACATCACAGACAGAACAAAGAGCAAGGGCCTTCCCATTGCAGAGATTAGCACAAACTGCTTTTAATTTTCAGGTGCTCTGCCACTGGTCTGCAAGCTTTCAGGTCATGCTTATGCTTCAGATGTGACAACTGACTCCATAATCAGACCCACCCCCACTCACCTGGCAGTGCCCTCAATGGCCTCCATCAGTACCAAGAAGGCTTGATCAGCAGGGCCCTCCAGGAAGAAGCTAGCCCACAGCTCCTCCAACTGGCCACCAGGCAGCAGCTCAAGCCAGTCTGGGCTCAGCTTGCCAACAAGACATCTGAGAAAGGCAGAAAAGTGGACTCTGGCAAACTCCTCCTGCTCCCGGGGAAGGGCTGGGTTCTCCATTTTACTGAGATACCGCTTTAGGGAACTCAGGGTAGAGAAGATGTGGTCACCATCTTCAG